GAGAGCCCGATGTGGGGCTCGATCCCAGGCCCCTGAGATCATGACCTGAGCCAAAGGCAGAGGCTTTAACCCACTGAGCCACCCAGGCGCCCAACCTGGCTATTTTTCTGAAGATGGCGGGTACACCCGGGGCTGCTCACTGTGGGACAGCCAAGGTCAAGGAATAAGGCTGTTCACTGGCCTTGGAAAGGGGCTGAGGCTGTAAGTGGAGAGTCCTAACCTGGCCTCACTGGACCAAGAATCCAAAGCACGACACCTCCTCTTCTCACCACAGCTTCTTTAGCAGTACACACAGCTGCCACAAAGCCCCAGCCAGATCCTTGCCATGGTCTTCCGATGGCCGACAGAAACATATCTTGTGAGGGAGAGCTTGGTGCAAACTCTGAACCACATCACGTCCAGGCCCAGGGCCCACAGGCACAACATCCTTAGCTGTCAAAAACTCTGAACCATCTGGGGCGCCTGGGTGTCTCCATTGGTTTCAATGACGGTTTCATCATGCCTTTTGCTCAGGTCATAATGGAAGGTGTGGGGGGGGCGGCCCTGGGATAGAACCCTGCATCTGGCTCCATGCTCAAGGGGAGCCTGCTTCTCCCTCTCCTTCTGCCCCTCTTCCACTCTCTCTTTCCCAAACAAATAAACACAATCTTTAAAAATATAAAATAAAATAAAATAAAATAAAATAAAATAAAATAAAATAAAATGCTGAAATATCTGTCTGTATTTCTGTCCCTCCCAGTGGATGGCTCCTGCCCTGCACACATTCCGGGCTCAACCCGCCTCATTGATCTCTCCCTCCACCCAGCAATTCAAAAGATAGTGTCCCACACAGCAGGGAGCCTCCAGGTCCCAGCTCCTGCAGGCTTCTGTTCTGAAAGTCAGTTACCACAGGGAACCAAATGATCCCCCGCTGCTCTAAGTAAGACCCTGGGCTTCAGCCACAGCCCCAGGAAACCCCACTGCCCAGGCTCGGCGCCATTTCAAAACATTTGTGGATCCGAGAGACCTGCTCCCCTGCTGGTGTGACCGCTCCTAGGGCCACCTTGATCAACAAGACGGCAGGGGACAGAAGTACAGAGGTGTTCAAGATGGTGCTTTTTCTATCTGTTTCTGTAAGATCTCGTTAATATCTTCATCTCCCAAAAACTAAGTGTCTGGTAGAATGCCTGTGCACACCAACACGGGGAGACCTCTGACACCTGACAGGTAAATAAACAAGATGCAGAAGGAGACTAAGACAGTGAACCCGTGCGTCAGTTAAACACACGGAGGCGTGTATTGTGTAAATGTGCGTGTACCCATGTACACATATATGCACACGTATGTAGGCGTCAATTTTCTCGTAGACCGAACGTACACTGTCCACACGTATCGCACACTGTGCACGATCACTCTTGGGGGAGCTGCGGGCTTTAATCGCACTGGTTAAAACCGGTATGGCACAAGCTCTCTTATCCAAATAAAACGTATTAATAAGATCAATATAAGAGATATATACACTAATGACTGTTGTCTAGAGGTCTAGATAGGCAATCTGTGACCTGTAAAGAGCAAACATATGTATACATACACACAGAAGTACAAAAACAGGGGCGCCTAGGGGGCTCAGTCAGTTAAGCATCTGCCTTTGGCTCAGGTCATGATCCTGGGGTCCTGGGATGGAGCTCCAAGCCCTTAGATGGGCTCCCTGCTCAGTGGGATGTCTGCTTCACCCTCTCCTTCTGCCCCTCCCCTCCACTCGTGCGCAATCCAAATAGATAAATGGAAAATGTTTTTTACAATTTTTTCAAAAGTTTAAAAATGAACTGGTTACCAGACCTGGTCCCTAGTATCGCCGTGGGGTGGAAGGAGCCCACAGGGCGTGAGTCTGGCTGGGAAAAAGCCAAGCGGGGAGGGCAGGTATGCAGAGACGACAGAGAAAGAGAGGAAGAGACCAAGGAGAGAGACATAAACAGTGAACTGAGGGACACACACGAAGCCCAGGCTGGTGGCCATCTCTGGAAATGGGGGGGGACAAAGCATTTTTGGTTTTACCAGCAATGTTTCATCTCTTTACTGGAGGACTAAAACATCAGACACAAACATAAAACAAAACCGTAAGCGGTGCTTATTCTAAGCGGTGTATTTGCCACACCAACCTTGTGTTTTTGTCTATTCCTTATTTCTCAGAAGGAAGTGAAGTTCATACCAGCAATCCCTCCTCGTGCACGCAATGAGTTCCAGGCCCTCGGGTGGGGACGCTGTGTATTACGTATGCGTCCCCCCCATCAACCCCACTCTCCTTCCCACAGCCCAGACCCCTTCCATTGCCAAAGTAGCCCTTACTGGCCCGTTACTGATTCACAAGCTGTTTTGGTTTTTTTTTAATGATTATAAATGCAGTCATCTATCTTAAGTTCAATGAACATTTATCAAACACCGTGAGAAGTTTCAGGCACACCGGACTAAATGATCTGTGGTTTCTGCCAAGTCGCTCCTGGCCTGGCAGGACAGACAGATGATGTGTGTGCAAAGGAAGGACAAGGCACTGGGGTTAGTGCAGAATCCAGGCATCCTGACGAAACACGGCGTGTGACAGAGGTGGGCGTGAGGGCAGCCCTTCGTAGAAGGACAGTGAAAGGAGCCAGGAGAGGCTTACACGTGAAGAAAAGAAGGGGAGAACTACAGCCATGGGGCTCCCTTTTATATGCCAGGTCCACACACGTCTCAACGCTCAGAGCCAACCCACGACGGCAGGGGAGGCTGTGAGGGGCGGCGTAACTTAGCTAAAAGCAAGGAGCAATTAGGTGGCACGGCAGAGCCTGACCCAGATCTGAACGTTCAAAGCTGAGGACGGGTGGGTTCGGAAGAGGTCGGGGTTCACCGGAGTCAGAGTTGGGGGGGCTCCTGGTACCCACACCTTCACTCTCTCCTGCACCGGGATGCCACTGGCAACAAGGGATCGGGGTGGGCGCAGCCTGGGGCACATGCTAACTCATCCTGGGATGAGGCCCAAGCCCAGGGCAGACAGGCAGCTTCAACCTCAACAAGATCAGCCTTAGACCCATCTCCACATCCGGCCTCCAAGTACAGCCTCCCTCCTTCAGGCTGCTGGGCTCCCCAGGAGGGGACACCTTCCCTTCCACCTGGTGGGCCATGCTCTCTGGGGCCATCCAGGGCCAAGGAGGAAGCTCAGCTCTGGGAGAGGGGAGCAGGGGCTGGGAGAGGCTCTGAGGACAGCTGAGGGGAAGGCACCACCCTGGATCCTGCCTAATCCATCCGACATGGGGACACACTGTTCCAGAAACCGGATGACAATTAATAGGAAAAATCTGCTCTCACAGCGCTGCCAAGCATGTCACAGGGTCTCAGCTGGTGGCGCTGCCTCCTCGGCGGGGAGCAGAAATGCCCCATTCTCCCCTTTGGCTGACACCCTCATGTTTTCTCAGGTGGAAGGAGGGAACAGCTATGGTCAAAGGGTTCCTCCCGTGGTCCGAAAACTGCCCAAGCAATAAGGCCAGTCCTCAAAGCCACGGCCCCAGGGATTAGGCTAAGACTGAAGGCTCGGGGCTCACCCAGCGGGGTTCATCTTCGAAGCCCGTGGAGCCCTGTTTGGCATCAGGGAATACTGGCAGATAAAACATCTCCCATCGAGGTGCCTCACAGTGGTCTGATCTTGTTTAAGTCGTGGGGCTTTGGGCCAAACTTCTATCGCCTCTCTAGAATTTGCCTGCACAAGTATTTCTCTTGGTCCAAATACTTCATAGGATTCACGAAAACCTGGCTTGCCTTGCTCTGACTTGTTCAGCTTAAGCAAGGACAGAAAGAGGGTACGGAGGTAGGTAGCCTCGGAGAAGCCAGGCAGCCTGCCCTCTTGTTTTCTGCCCTTCTACCCTTCCACAGGGATCTCTTGCTGAATGCCAGTGTTCTAAACTTTTAGGGGAGTCACAGAATATTTTGAGACTATAACACAAGGAGTGGACTAGTTCCTTTCCAAACCATCCCCCACCCCACTGCCACGTACACCCAAACATTTGCATAAGTCTAGGGGACCACCGTCCCTGTGGATCTCATTCACATGCCCTCCTTCGGTCCCCGAGTCCCAAGGTCAGGACTCTCCCCACAGATCCCGATTCATGTGCAGAAGCTATAGAAACTCATCTTTCTGGATCCCATACTCTCAACCCTGGATTCCAGTTCAGCAACCTGACCGTTTGTTGAACCTTTCCTCATCCTTCCCTACCCACCTCCCATCGAACATTAGCCAAAAATGGAAACCCAGTGGGGAGCAGGTCTTTAAATTCCAGTTTCTGTTTGAGAACCAGTACCCAGCCTCCCGGAAGCCATCTGGACAGATCCATCCCTGAGACCAGGCAGATGGGTGCTAATTCACCGTGTTAACCCCTTTGGTGCCACTCCCCCCACCCAAGCCCTGGTGGGAAGCCTCGTCCCGCAGCCCTCCCCAGTCAGAAGGGGGCTGAAGACTCGGGATTGTGGAAGCTGGCCAGCAATTTTAGCAATCGTGTTGCTCTTGGCATCCACTCTGGGACCCTGTGTAGAGCTACGTGCTGAAATGCCATCATGTGGGCAACGTCCCAGCACCGGGGTGCACCACCCGACATCTAGCTAGCTAATACCTTCGCAGCACAACTCCGAGGGAGGGGGCAGGCAAGAGTGAAACCAAGCCACTCACACAAGGAGTCCTTTTTCTCAGCAACTCCCTTCACAAACTACCCTCCTTCAACAAGCAGCCCTGCTCTATGCTGCTTCCCGGTCTCAGGGCAAAGCCAGGCGGACCACAGTCTGGACCCCGTGGACACCAACGTTGCCTCTACCCATCACCACCAGCAGTGAGGGGCAGACAGGAATCTCCACCAGGATGCCTTCAGCCCACGAGCAGAGGCCTTCTTGGGGAGCAAAGGGAGAATAAAACAGCCTCTTTTGATCAAAAGGAACCTGATTCCACCCGCCCCTCCCCACCCCCCGCCAGGAGACCCTTGCAAGGGAAAATCCCACCTTACCCTTCATTCCAAATTTGGACCGCCGACCGTACTTGTTGATCATGATGAAGAGAACCACCAACAGGACGCAGGCAAAAGCAGCAAGTCCCACGGCGATGGACACCTGGGGGTGCCGAGAGGGGGCAGGTAAGCACAGTCACCGAGAACCCGCGGGCCAGGGAAAGTCACACGTGCCCAAACGGACGTTGTCCCATCGGGGGAGCCGCGGCAGCCCACTCCAACCCGCGCCACTGAGTCAGTTCCTCGGCAGAAGTAACTCATGAGACTTTGAGCACATCACAGGAGAATTAATTCCCCAGCTGGATGAGAGAACGTCCCGTGGCTCAGCCTCTCATCTGCGGGCCACCCGTCACAAGCAACGCAAGGGCAGGCCTAAGATGTCTCTGTCTACTGTTTGTTGTTTCCATTAGCAAAAATCCCTCTGCACCTTCACATGGATAATCTTTACAGAATATCTTCCAGAAGGTTCTGGAGATCTGGACTCTTAAAAACAAAACAAAACAAAACAAAAAAACACCTTTGCTCTCCTTCTCAGGGACATCTCTGGCTCTGAGGGTCAGGCAGGGGAGGGCTGGGGGAGGGACTGGAAAAACCCACGCAAGGGGTTGCTCTGAGCAATTCTGACTCTCGTGAAAGGTTTGTGTGGTTAGTATTGCCCTCGAATCAGGCCCAGCCAGGCTCCTAGCAGAGTGGGGGTTTTCAAACGGTTTTCTTCCGAACCCTAGGGCTTGGAGCGGATCCTCAAAGAGTTCCTCAAATAATGACTTATTCTCATCAAACAAGGAAGGTTTCAACCACCTGAAAGGAGGTCATTCAGAGCAGTTTTTTTTCTGCCGCATATGCTGGGGTTCCAAGTAAGATAAAATTCTGGAAAGTTAGCTCCAAAAACGAAGTCAGTAAACACCGTCCCCTTGATCCGGGAGTGACTTACCCCAAAAGTGTCTTCCTCCGGTTTGTGGGTCACCGTGATGGGTGTGGGGCTCACGTCGTAGACTGAAAACCAACCAGACCACGAGGGTGGTTAGCTTACCAGCCGTAAGAGGCTCAGCCACAGTGCCCACCTGACTCCCAGGCCCCCCACAAGAGGTCCTGCTCTGGCTTTGCAGAGGTCCCTGGAGACCAGGTCAAGCGCAGGCTCCACGAGGAATAAAGGACCCTCACTGCCACCCGCCTACCTCCATTCCAGAGTAAAGAATGTCACCTGGGCAACCTAGGCCATGAACTACTAGGTACAGAGGAGTAGAAAAAAATGGTTTGGGATCCAGGCCAGGGTGCGGATTGGGCACATTTTGTTGATGACAACAGATGGTGTTGACATTCGGCTACCCTCTGCCACGGAACCTCCTTTCCCTGTCCCTGGCTCTCCCATGCCCTTCCTTTCTCCCTCTTTATTTCTCAGTGAGACCAGGAGACCCACGGCCCCAGGAACAACTCACTGTCCACTCCCCTACTACGGAGTTCAAAACACAGTGGCTGCCCGAGGTAAGCAGCAAGTCCATCTGCCCCAGAAACACCGCCTTTTCCAGCAAGGCTGGGATGGGAAGCCGGTCTGTCCTCCATCTCTGATCATCTCCTGGGCAGGAAACAGCCCCAATTCAGAAGTCTTTGGAGGGACATTCTGGGAGATGACAAGTCCTCTCAGATCAAGGACAAATGAAGGAATCACAGATAATCTGCACATCCATGCCCAGCAGTAAGGGGTGTCCTCAATAGGAATGTCCACCACCTCAGGCCACACATAGGGCAGAAACGACAGTGCTGCTGCCGTTAGTCTCCCATGGGGAGAAAAGGAAAAGCCATAAATACAGATTTCCCCACCGTCCATGAGCAAAACACCAAATTGGGGGAGGGGGGAGAGGGGGCGGTGGGATGTCTGGTCCTAGCCCCAGACTGCTTTTAAATTGAGCCTCAATAGTTTTACTTTAGGGGTGCCTGGGTGGCTCAGTCAGTTAAGAGTCCGACTCTTGATCTCAGCTCAGGTCCTGATCTCAGGGTTGTGAGTTCAAGCCCCGCGTTGGGCTCCACACTGAACATGGAGCCTACTTAAAAAACAAAATAATTCCACTTGAGGACACACAAGCCTATCAGGAGACCTTGTAAATTACTCACAAGGATTCTGGGCCCCTCAGAGCAGGTAAGAAACATGGGTTTAGGGGCCCCCCTTCTCTCCACAAGGACACATGAGACGATCACCAGGGGTCTACCTGGGCATGTGAAACCCCATGTCCTTCCTGATACCACCCCTTCTCATCCAGGCAGGGAGACCACAACTTGCTCAAACCTTAGGGAACTCCGTGGGGAAACTGAGGCACAGAGACCAAGAGATGTGCAAATGGAACTACCCAAGAAGTATTTCTACTCTCCAGTTCCCCTTCACAGTTCCCTGAGATGGTCTCAGCTACCGTGGGTCTGGGGCTGGCCGCAGAACAGGAAAGAGGGCTACACGGAATCCATAATCACCGAAAGTACCAGAATAAAGCAGTTTCAAAGCAAAAGATAAAGCAGACTTACTGGAGACAAAGTTATCCGTGCTCTCTGCAAAAAAGACAAAGAGATCATTAACAAGTGTCATAAAAACCAGAACAGAAGCACTGTATCTTCCTCGTAGGTACGACCTCTCCCACTCACCACAAGTGCCCCTTTACTCCGGCAACTGAAAACTAAAATCTTTGACACACCACCCCTCCCCCACGCCACACTACCCCCTCCTGGAGGTGGTCTTCCAAGTGGAGAAGGAATGCGAGATAAAGCTCCTGGTTCCGAGGGAGGTGGCCCAGCCACCCTAGGGTCTATGAGATGGAAAATTACATCTAGACACAATGTCTCACCCACAGTCCTCTCCCCTTCAGGTACCCAGAGCGCTGGGGATGTTGGTGGTAGCCCAAAGCCAAGAAGAGATGCTGCAGGGTGGGTTTCCCTGGACTTTGGTGAAAATGCCAGCTGTGATCCCAAGACAGAATTCCTCAAATTGATATAGACAGTTTATTCTAGCGGTCCCTGAGATGTTCCTGGGAATCCCTTTATGAACCTGCCCATCCCCCAGATGAAAATGTGCTATTGGATCTTCGCCTCTAGAAATGGCTCAGCGAACAGTGAAAGTGCATCATTATCAGACACTAATTATAAGCCAGGGGCTGGACTCGGTGCTTTATGTAACGCATCACTCGATCCTTATAACCATCTGAGGAGGCGGAGAGCATTAGCCCCATTCAACTGAAATAGAAACAGGCTTCTAGAGATTAAGAGACTAACTGAATCTCGATGAGGGATTATTAGACTGAGCTGGATTCGAATCCAAGCCTGGGCTCTTAGCCATTCCATCAGAGATTCCCCAATTCTAGCATGCAAGGGAAACATCTAGAGGGTGACAGCACTACCGTTCTCCAGTAAAAGGAATGAGGGCTCCTCGGAGAAATACATAACTTCAGGCTTGGGGCAGAGAAAGTACAAGATGTGCCCGGAATACTGTGTGGTACTAGAAAGTAGGAGTGTACTCCGGATTAGCGGGAGCATGGGAAAGAGCACGGGAGCCTCCAATGACCAAATGTGGGACAATTTAAGCAAAAAATGAAGACAGCCATGGATTGTTACAGGCTGAATTGTACTCGCCCCAAATTTGTACAGTGGAGCCCTGATCTCCAGCACATCTGCAGAGGACTGTATTGGGAGATGGGCTCTTTATTTTTTTTTTTTAAGATTTTATTTATTTATTTGACAGACAGAGATCACAAGCAGGCAGAGAGGCAGGCAGAGAGAGAGAGAGAGAGAGGAGGAAGCAGGCTCCCTGCTGAGCAGAGAGCCCGATGTGGGGCTCGATCCCAGGACCCTGGGATCATGACCTGAGCCGAAGGCAGAGGCTTAACCCACTGAGCCACCCAGGCGCCCCGGGAGACGGGCTCTTTAAAGTGGTAATTCAGTTAAAAGAAACTGATTAGGGTGGACGCTAATCCAATATGGCCAGTGTCCTTGCAAGAGGAGGTGATCAGGATGAACCACAGAAGACCAGGTGCAGACACGAAAAGAAGACGACTATCTGCGAGCCAGGCCAGAGGCCTCAGAAGGAGCCAACCCTGCTGACACCCTGATCAGACTTCTCGCCTCCAGGGCTGCGAGAAAAACACGTGTGTCTTGTTTAAGCCACCGAGGCTGTGGTCCGCTCTTACAGCAGCCCCGGGAAACTACACGGATTCTAAGTCATAGCACAAAATGAACATCCCCGAGTTCGTACCAATGTAAATAAGCAACTGAATGAACACACAGGGGAAGAAGAGACACTCTTCCTCATAGTAGCATTCCACCCAACACACGTAGAAGGAATGATGGAAGGAAGAAAGTCACCACTGGCAAATACCACGGTTATAAACTGCTTTGGGCAAGAACCATCAAAGAAGGCTAAGATTAATGTGTGAAAGCATGAGAAGACACAAGACATTCACAAAGTTTCCAAACATTATACTTACTAGGTACAAAGGGGAAAAAAGAAATCACCTTTAGGTGGAGAACCCTGGCAGATACCATGTCCACCCAGTGACAGAATTAACTGATGTCACCAAGAACTAGAGGTGTGGACACCAGGTGCCCCCACAGTGATGTCCTGAGTGAGCACGGCATCATTTCTGTGCTGTTCATGCCAAAATAGTGTAACCAGCATTAACTGGGAGTCAGCAATTGACAAACCCAAAGTGGGGGGGACATCTACAATATAACTAGTGAGTATCCTTCAAAAGGGTCCAGCTTGGGTGCCCAGGGGGGCTCAGCTGGATGAGGGTCTGACTCTTGATTTCAGCTCAGGTTGTGATCTCAGGGTCGTGGGGTCAAGCCCCACATCGTGCTCCACATTCAGCAGGGAGTCTGCTTGGGATTCTCTCTCTCTCCCTCTGCCCCTCACCCTGCTCTCATGACCTCTCTCTCTCTCTCAAATAAATCAATCTTAAAAGAAAAAAAAAATATGTCCAGCTCATGAACGACAATGACAGACGGAGGGACTGTCCCAGACTGAAAGAAAATAAAGTGACAGAGCATCTAAGCATGGCGTATGGTCCTGAACTGGGTCCTAGAGAAGAAAGGACAGCAGTGGACAAAAGTTGGGTCCGTAAACTCGTTAACAGTGTCAGTGTTAATATCCTGCTTTTGCACATTGGACTGTGCTTAGGTAAGATGATACTCTTTGGGGAAGCTGGGTGAAAGGTATAAGGAAGTTCTTTGTACCATTTTATTACTTTTCGGGGGTAAGTTCTTTTTTTTAAGATCATTTATTTATTTGAGAGAGAGAGCAGAGGAAGAGAGGGAGCACAAGCATGGAGCAGGGACAGAGGGAAAGCGAGAAGCAGGCTCCCCGCTGAGCCCAGGACCCCAGTGTCATGAACCAAGCCAACAGGCACCCCTAGCAGGTAAATCTTAAACTAGTTCAAAATGATGAGTTACAAAAAAAAATCCTAAAATTTGTTTTCAATAAACATGCATTATCAGGCTTCATCCCAGAATTTCTGAGTCAGGAGGTCTGGGGAAGGTCTTGGGAATTTACATTTCTAAGTTTTCAGGTGCTGCTGATGCTGCTGATCCCTTTGAGAATTCCCAGCATTATGTTACATCTACTGTGGCCACGAGCCTACCACACTCTGAAAAATAAGAACAACCCATTCATTTGTTCATTCATCCATCCATCCACCCATCCATCCATCCACTCATCCCTTGGTCTTCAGGCCCTGGGCTAAGTCCTCACAGTCATCGTAATTTTGGCTCTACTAAACAGGCACCAGCTAATATTCTTCTCTAACCATCTGTGGGGCAAGTGATGCTTTCTGTGAAGGAGTCTAGAGAAAGCCCTGTTTACAGTAGGTGCACGGTTAACAGCTGGCTTGTCTGCTGCCCATTTTGTGTCGCCTGGGGAAGGCCAACAGAGCCTTCTCCAAATTCCTAAGCCCAACCTTCATGCCACCACCCTCTTGTAAGCTGTACCAAAGGCCTGATGTGTGGGGAGGATGGTGGGGAGGGGGCCCGAGCATTGGCTTCAGAGCCTGGGGAAAGACAGGTGCCAGATCAATTCACAGTTAATGCTGATTTGTGTATTTCTCATAAGGCTCCCGTTTATTAGAGAATATTCTCACATCGGGCAAATGTTTTGGCCGAGCCTATGAACCCTGTAATCTCCCAGTCAGCCCACGTGCTTAGCTCCCTTGCTGGAGCCTGGGAACACGCATCCATCCGGGAAACACATGAACCCAGGAACAGGGAGACTTCCTGGACCCCTCTAACCAGTGGGGGAACTCAGAATTTTACACTGGAAGAGATTGGTACCCAGGAATGATCCTCACCTCCTACCCACCAGCAGCTGGGAAGGACAACTAGAACCACGGGCCAAGGTGCTGTCTGAATAGGAACAGGGGTGGGCATGAATCCCCACTACCCCAGTCCCAGACTGCACTTCTTCCAATCCCAACACTCATCAAAAAGTGCCTTGTGGGAAAAGCCAGTCGGTCCAGAGAAGGGAGAAGTGAGGCAGCAGCTTGTGTCCAGACAAAGAGGTGGACTGAGATGTGCTGCTGGGAGCAGATGCCCCAGGTTTAGGTGCGAGAAGGCAGTGGGGAGGCCAAGCCAAGGCCCGCGCTCACACCGCCCATCCCGCACAGACGCCCCATCTCCCCTCCGCTGCACGCAGCTGTCGGTGGCTCAAACCGGGAAGAAAAATCCATCCTTTCCCCCCAACCTAGCAGCCTGGGATCACATCCTATCTCCACAAGTTCCTTAGGGCAAGGAAACCAGCCTTGACTGAGGCGGAGGGCGCAAGGGCACTGATTTCTCCATTGTTTGTACCCAGCATCGTGAAGGAATTCTGCTTTCTGCCGTTGTAAAAATCCCCATGAAAAACTGGACTTCTGGCCAAGTAAAAAATGAGAATGTAGGAGTTATGGCAGCTCACTTATTCCTAAATGTTTTGTCAAGTAGTCTCAGGTATTTTTTGCACACACACACACACACACACACATACACACACACAGACACACACACACATACCCCTTGGCAACATGCCTCCTTCTATCACATCATCATCTAAGGAACACTCTTGCCCAGCCTACAACCTCCTAACTATCACCTCCCACCCTGCCGTCACTTAGACTCTCCAGGTCCTCCCTTCCTGACACGTCAATCCCTGATCCTTGGTGGCTCCCCACTCTTATGCCCAGATCCCCTCCGGCAGCCCCGCTAAGTTCCTGGAACACCGAAGAGGATTTATCTCCACCGACCTCCCTAACCGATCCTTGCGGAAGCCTCCTTCACCAAGGCTGGATGCCATGTTGAGGGTTTTCGCCCTTCTCTGGAAATGTAGGAGGAAACCCAACATTCCTACAGCATGTGTAATTTTAAAAAACAAGCAACAACAACAACAACAACTTTTCCAGAACATTTTCATTTTAACGTCCTACTCTGAGAAAATCTTTACTGATGGAAGCCTCTGCATTTCCAGATTGTTCCATTAAATATATTCATTCCAATCAAATCTCTCCCATGGGTCTCAGGACCATGGAGAATCAGAAAAGGAGACCGTTACCTTCAGATCTGGTTCTGCCCCCAAACAGATCCCCTGTCAGTCGCCCTTGGGTGTGCTTTTCAGAAAAATAGAAACAAACAGTCCCTCTGGGCTTACTCTGTGCCAAACAGTGTCGTAAGCATTTCAGGTGAATGAATCCACTGTGGGTCAACCAATCTTCACCACGGCCTTTGAGGTAGAAGCAGGCGCTGAGGAATTTGCCTGAGATGACAAAGCTGAGGAGCAATTTAGAGAGACTCTGAACCCTGGAGGGTTGGATGGCTCCCTGTCCCTACAGATCCTACCTGTTAGAACCGACAAGCTTGACCAGAGAACGCTGCTCCTAGAACGCCTGTTCACTGCATCCCTCTGTCCCAAGAATCCTGGCAGTAGCTGACAGCTGGTCCATCTTTCCTCTGTCTCAACACAGACCGAAACCCTCAGCATACTTTGCTTAATCCTCATGGCAGCTGAGGGAGGAGCCTTTGTTCTTGCTCCCATTCCGCAGATGGAAAAGTAGAGGCAGAGTAGAAATCGTCTTTCACTGCATGCCAGTCGCATACCATGTGCCAACCCCGTCCTGGGAGCTGAGGCCACCTGTCTGGTTGGGTCACAGACGGGATTTGCACCTCCATCTGCCTGATTTCAGAACCCTCGCTCTTAACCTCTCCGCTCTGCTTGCCTCGGAGCGAGAGAGGAGTCGCTACGATCAATACGACGTCGCCACACGCTCAGGGCCGAAGACAAGAGCAGGACCCGCAGACAGCCTCACACCCAGAGCTCGGCAGGGATGGGGTTTACTGCCCGCTCCTCCAAATAATTTACTCTCCTGAACATTTAGACGTTTTGTCATTTGACACAACTGGCCCATCTTATCCCTGTCATGGCCTTTTCATCATCCACTGATTCTTCTAGGTTCATAAAACAAGCAAACCCTCACACAGGGCGTCCCAGGCGAGGTCTGAGGAAGATGCCTTCTGGTGGGCTGTTTCCTTCTGAGCTCCCCTGACTCCCCCCAGCCTTCCACCTCCCAGGGCCAGAGCTCACCAAACAGCATGGCAGGTGATTGTTCAAACACCCCGGGGTCTCTAATGCAGTGGGGCTGGGTGGGGCTGGAGAGTCTGAGTTCTAACACAGGCCCAGGAAATGGTGATGCTGCTGGTCCAGGGACCCCTCTTTAAGAACCTGAGAAGGTGGCAAGGGGCTGCTATGTCTCTGGGGGACCAAAAGGGTGTCTGTATGTCTGGGAGGATGCAGAGAACTGCTCTGTGGACAGCCCCTGTGGGGAGCAGCCCAGAGTGGCTCACCCTCCCTCCAGAGCCTTCCAGGGCTCTCCACGCTCTCCAGACCCCCAGAGCTCCCCTTGGGAACAAGCATTGCTTTAGGGAACCTCTCTAGCCCACACTGCTGTGTGGCCCGGCAGTGCCCAGTATCTCCGTATCTAAAAGCTGCTCCCTCCACACCACACGGAGGGCCGGGACTCTTCCAGCTCCCGGGGCAGAGATGGGCGTGGCCGGCAGTGCCACTGGGCATGCTGGGGATGATGCTGAAAGTGCTGGACCAAATGGGACCGCCAGGGTCTTAAACACCAGCACGTTCTGGACCCTCTCCTGAGCAACGGTGCTGCACCACCCTGGGCCTCAGCGGCAAGAATCCGGCTTCCCATGCATCTTTTCATTTCCGAGCTTCGAGCTGGAATTTCCCTGCACTGAGATAAATGAGGCCACTGGAGTGGAGCTGCTACCCCATATGTGTGGGCTGAGAAGTCCCCTTCACATAAGCAGATGAGGCACTGGCCTGGCTCTTGCTGGCACCCTTCTGTGTGCGTGTGTGTGCGCGTATGCGGGTGATTGGTCTTCTCACTCCCCTTTATCTTGCTAGAACCCCTGAGTGTGGAGACTGAAAGTCATCCAGCCTGTTCCCAGCAGAAATCAGCAAGGTCATCAGTTTGCTCAGTTTCATTGACAGAAACCCATCAGCTTCAGGACCCACCGAGAAGCTACAACCGCGTCCATGGAATTCTTCGGGGCTTTTCTTCTCTTGCATCTCAGGAAGGTATTGGAGAGACTATAGCTCAGACAGATAGTCACCCCCCTCAAAGAGTCACACAAACAAAGTTCTTTCATTCCTTCAGTTACCAGCCCTGGCTCCCTGGACGTAGCAAGCTCAAGGCTGGAAGCCTACCCCCTCGCCAAGCCTTGCTACCAACCAGCAAGCAGAAGGAGGTTCAGTTCACACGTCTGTTAAATGTGGGGTTGAACTAGAGAGACCCCAAAGGCCCTGCAATGGAAGGTCATCGAACCATGGTTATGTGTCAAAGCCTGCACGCCTTCTAGACCAGAGGTCATGAGTCAAAGGAGCAGTGTCGTCGTGCCCATTTCACGGATGTGGGAAGTAGAGGCTCAGACAAGCAAACTATCATGCCGGGAGTTCCACAGCAAAAAAAGAACTGGGTCAAGATTCTCTCTGTCTTCCTTGTCTAGCTCTCAGGTCCTTCCTCTACCAAAACAGGGCATGTCCATGCATGCACAACTGTGCATTTCTGAGGGGGCCTGACAGCCCTGGAAAAACAGGCTTTATCTGGTTTACACGATATGCTCACGGGAGCAGACTTGGCCCCAAGCAGACTTTGGTTCACCAGAGATAACAGTGTTCTGGGGGATGCCGTGCCCACCCTGTACCCTCCTAGGAGGCGCTGTCACACTGTTGGGGCCTCACCTGGGAAGGGCTCCTTGAGGAAGTGGCCGTTGATGGTCTGGTTGGCTGTGCCCAGCGGGTTTTTGGCGATGAGGGTGTAGTTGCCGTTGTTGTAGTGTGTAGGCTTGTTGAAGAGCAGGCAGCCCTCGGACACCTCGCCCTCCTGGTAGTACTCCACATGCGTGATCTTGGACTCCCGCAGCGGCTGCCCATTGTGCAACCAGTGCAGCGTGGGCGGCGGGTTACCCCGCACCACGAACTCGATGCAGTGCTCCAGACGCAGCTCCGGCTCCTCTAGGCTCACCACGCGTGGGGGGTCTGCGGGGGACGGGCCTGCTGACTCCCAGGACGCAGAGACCCCCATGCCCCAGAGCAGCACCCCCGACACTAGGACGGGGATCCCGGTTCTCCCCCCATCCAGCTTGGAGAAGACCCAGGGGATCAGGGGTACCCCCGTGACCTTCCCAAAAGTGGGAAAGAGAGGACTGTCTTCCCCCACACTTCCCGGGTCCACCATCACTGGCCCCGTGACCCTCTAGGAGCGAAGAGAAGGCAGACGGGGGCTGACATGGGGGTATCCTGAAGATGAGTTGCAGGCATACCATCTTCTGAGGGACAGGGATGCCCTTTCTGGGGTTACCAGCCAAGAACTGCCTTGTTCAGTCCTGCCCCCCTAGCACACTGGCCCCCGCTTCCTGCATGACCGTTCCCCGAGGACACAGCCCCCCTCCAAGATGGCAGCCACTCACAGTGCACGGTGAGGGCCACACTGGCGTTGCTCATGCCCACCACGTTCTCTGCGATGCATGTCAGGGTGAAGCCATTGTCCTCGCTTGTCACATTGACCAGGGTCAGGTTGATGGCGTGTACGTTGGTCCAGTTCAGATTTGTCTAAAATCCCAATGGAAAAAAAAAAAAAAATCAGTTTCTAGAAGACAGCTCCCCATTCACCTTCCAAACACCTGTGGGAATCAAAAAGAAAGCTGTGTAGGAAGCGAAGGAGGCCTTTCCTCCTCCCGGGCACACTGACCAACCGCCAGGCTCTCTACGCTCAAGAGCTCAGGAAACCCTCACATTTACCCTAGGGGGTGAAGACTGGCATTACACCCACTTTACAGATGAGAAAACTAAGGTACAGAGAAGTTTATTAGCATGCTGAAGCTCGGGTTGGCCAGAAAAGGTTGGAGCTGGGTGAGAACCAAGTACATGCAGACTTTCCCTCTTCTTCCTTCTCCTCATATCTCTGGCTTCTCTTCCTGATGGAGCTCACTGGGACAAAGAGGTCAAGGCTCCCCAGCCTCCCGATGGGGCCGGAGCCTAGGGCGCCTACCTGGTGGGTGTTGATGGACTGCAGTCCCGTGACTATCCAGTCTACGTCGGGCAGAGGGGATCCAGAGCCATTGCACGTGATGACAGCATTGTCGCCCTCTCGAACGGTCAGGTTCACGTGGCTCACACTGATCTCAGGAAGGTCTGGGAGGCAGGACAGGACGAGTGGAAAGATAAGCCAACACTTAGTACCAAAACTTTGTCCCTGGGGTCGATGGTGGCCCTTCTCAACACAACCTGCTTGATCAAGCTCTTGGAAGGCCCCCAAGTGCCAGAATCTTTCCAGTACCTCCCCGCCAGCAGAGGTCAGAGCTCAGAATTTAAGCCCAGCTGGGCTCTCCCACTGGCCAGGCAGAGGGTGGGGGTGGGGAGGTGCTCAAAGAATGTAGTTCCAGCAACCGGCTCTCCAGCTTTGGTCTGCTTCCAGCTCCCATGAGGAGTCTGCTAGAAATTCAGGTTGCCGAGGCCCATTCTGAGACATCCCGTGATCTCATTAAGTCTGCAGGGCCTGGGCATCTGCTTTTCTAAAACTCCCTTAGATGCTCCTGATATGGAAGATCCAGAGCCCACGCTTTAAGACAGACTCCTTCACATCTAATTGACGAGTATCTCATAGGGAGAAACGACTCTGGTCCATTGAGAAGGGGCACACTGCACCCCTGTCTTCACTCAAGGCTCACGGAGGGACAGGGATGACCAAGGAGGTCAACGGTAAGCCAGAGCTGCACCCAGTGCAGAGTTCAAGGCTGAGGGTTGCGGGGTGGGGGCAGGGGCCAGAAGGCCCTGGCTCTACAGGCTCCCGCACAGGTGTGAGGGCCCTTTGCCTGGAGCCTGCTGGGGCCAGGCCACTCACTCACCGCACTGGCTGATGTTCATGCGGAAGAGGGGCAGCTGCGAGCCGTCGGCACCGATGCAGTAGAGGTGCTGGCTGTTGAGCTTGGCCTCCCCCTGCTCCTGCCACAGCTGCATCCAGCGGATGTCACAGCTGCAGTTGAAGAAGTTCTGCTCCAGTCTCCTGCGGGCAAGGAAACAGGGGAAGGGACCTCCTGAACCAAAGACGGACCTGCTCCCCCCGCCCCCCAGGGCTGGAGGGACGCCCCGACCTGCTCTTCAGGGACTAGAGAGAGGAGAGGTTTAGCAAGGTTTTGAAAGAGATGAAAAATACTTCTAAGTCCATGAATTCCTTTCGTTTTTGCACTCATTTGGGAAAAAAAAAAAAAGAATCCACTCCATTTAACTCACCTGCCAACGAGACCCTTTTAAATACATCAGCTTGGGATATCGCTCTTCTCAAAGCCCTCCGGTGGCTTCCCATGTCATTGAACGTCAAGGTCAAAGGCCTACAGGCTCTGCAGTGCTCTCCATCACCTCTCTGACCTCATCTCCTACCTCTTACCCTCTTCTTCTTCTTCAGCCACACTGACCTTGCTATCTGTCAAGTTCACTAGCACGACCAGCCTGGTGCTGCCTCAGGGCCTTTGCACTTGTCCCTTCTGCCTGCAGAGTTCCTACGCATAACATGCCTGCTACATTGGCTATCTCACTTCATTAAAGAATCATATGGCCTTCTCCAAATACTGCTCTAAGTAAACTGCCAACAACCCCTGCCTTAGTGCAGCCCGTTCCCCGCCCTACTATTTCTTTCCCTCCAGTATTTGTCACTGTCCAGCATCACTTTAAAAATTTGTTTATTATCTGTCTCCCCAAATAAAAATTAAGCTCCATTGAGCTCAGAGAAATTGCCTGTTTGGTTCATCTGTATCTCCAGTGCCTACAACTGAGCCTGAGAAGTGAATGCCTATTGAATGAATAGAAGGAGGGAAGGGAGGGAGGAAAGGAGGAAGGAAAGGGTTACTCTCCCTGGGGAGCAGGTGGTTCGCAATTTCCACCATCAGCTCAAAGCCCATCCCGGGCCCAGCTTTATTCTCCATAAATTCAACAAAATCCTTATGAAGCACCTGTTCCGTGTCTGGCTGTGAGCTGAGCACTGCTGATACAGAGGTGGATGAGACAGCCTGGGAGCATGGAGAAGAAGAGCATCTGATGGGAAAAAGTGTCAAGTTCAAGCTCTTCCTTCTCCACTGACTTTCCTTGTGACTGAGAGCAAGTCCCTGCCCCTCTGAATGGGGTTATCCCATTAGGGAGACAATGAATGGCGTTCATTGATGTAAAGCACCCAGGAGATGTAAAGGTCTGCCTCAGTAGGAAGAACGTGATTCTCTTGCTGGACTAGTAAGGAGGCGAGTGTGTTGGTGCCCAGAAGGAGGGGCACTAAGACCCAGGATATTCTGGACAAGGGGTGGAATTCCAAAGTAGTGAGGCATGCATCAGAAGTGATCAGCTTTCAGGGAAAAGTGAAGTCCTGGAGGAGGAATCTGTGTGTCCCAGCCAGAGGGATACCGCAGGCAGAAGGTGCCAACACCTTTGCACGAAAGCCCCTCGGTCTAAAGGTACGCTGGCTTTTCCCTGCACTCTTTCAGGAAAGGAGAAAGGACCTAGCCTTCATGAAGCATCTGCTTCCCACAGCCACCCTGGAAGACAGCCAGCACTGTCCCTGTCCAGAGGGGGGACCCCCACTCGCATTGGGAGGGGTTGAGTCTCGTACTCCAAGTCCCTGGGCTGGGGTGGGACCAAGCAGGGCTGTAAGCCTCACCCTGCTGGACTCCAGACCCCACACACCCCCACCCCGTCTACCCTGCAAAAGGCACCGCTGGCTGTGAACAGAGATGCAGAGATGTCAGCATGACCCCTGGCTCTGCGGCTCCTGGGCAGAGAGCAGGGGAAGAGTTCACGGCCACGCTGGAGGCCGAGATGGGAAAACAGGAAAGAAAAGCTGCGCCAGGGCACAGAGTTCACATCAAGGAGCACTGGGAAATGCAGCTGGAAGGGAGAGTGGAAGCCAGATGGTGCGGGACCTTCATGGCCACATCAAACATCAGCAAGCTGGGGATTCATCCTGGGGGCGGCGGGAGCCAGGGAGGCCCTCGGAGCTCGACGATGGGAGCAAAGCAGGTCTGTCAGAAGAGTAATCCAACAGTACTGTGCATGACGTGCGTGCCTTTCTCAGAGCACCCAGGCGAAGGGATGAATGGGGGACAAAATCCTTGACTCACACGCCTTGACTAGACCCGGTGCCTGGCACAGGGCTACTACATGCACCCAGAAGGGGTATCTGCCTTCATTGACGCATTGGGATGTGCTGGCCGGCAGGCTCAGAGTCACTCTTCTAAGGCTTTTGGTCTCAGAACTCCTCTTTACTCTTAAAAATCCCTGGGGGCCTCCAAGAGCATTTGCATATGTAGATTACACTATCCCTCTTCACCATTTTGGAAGTGAAGTAGAAAATTTTAAAACACAACGCCGCGTTAGCACAAACCGCCATTCGTCACCAGGGCAGCGACGTTATCACAGGTTCAGTGACCCTAGAGGTCACTGTGATAACGTCGCTTGGGGTCACACCTTCTGGGGCACCAGATTGAACAGGACAAGTAATGTCTCAGATTCTACCCCGTGGTCTCCCTGATAGGGTCTTGGGGGCCCCACGGAATCCCGGACCCCCACTTGAGAACTGCTGCCACGTTAATAAGGGTCTCAAGTAGACTGGTAAAAGCACGGGAGAGGGAAGGGAAGGTGGAACAGACACGGTAAAGAAGACAAGGTGGAATTTGGTGCTTTGCTGGAGGTGGAAGGAAAGAATGGAGGATAACACCACGGTTTTAAGCTCCAGGAGACAGGAAACCAATGGAGGAGAGATACATTTTTAGCTGAAAACAGGAGAGAAGGAACCAATGAAAAGGAAGAAGGTCAGTGTATGAGGCATCGGGATGAGGTCCTAGAGGAGGAAGGTGAAGCATGAGGCCGGGAGTCTTGGAGGTCCTGCCCCAGTGGAGAGGCAAGAAGGCGCCAGGGCGGAGCCGACAGGTAGAGGAAAGAGAACGGGGAGGCAGGAGGAAGTAAGAGCTAAGAAAAAAAAAAAAAATGGAATGACGTTTGCGCTGCACCTACCACCTGCCCAGCACCATGCAGATTGCCCTCCACACACCAGCCCCATGAGCCCTCCCCTCAGGGACGAAGCGGGGGAGGCAGGGGATGGCTTCCACGGGGAAAAGCAGAAGGCCAAGCTAGGCTGCCCAGTGTGTGGAGGACAGGAAGGCCTGAGGACGTGGGTCTGTGTTTGCATTCACACGGCGGGGACGAGGGGCGAGGGGAGGCCAGGCAGCCCTGCTGGAAAGATACTGAGGGTCCAGATGCTTCCATATATGCAAGCTGAACCAGGTCAGCCTGGTTTTCCCAGATGCTCGCTAGACAAGATGTGGTCATTCATTGTGAAGCAGTTGTAAAAAGAAATTATCCACCCGGGTGGAAAAGATTAGCAAGGGAGGGGCTGGGCTCAGCGGCTTCAAGACCATGTGCTTTAGGGAGCCCTGCCTCACCCGAGTCCCACACTGCTGCGTCCCCTGACTTCTCAGTGGCTCCCCGCAGGGCTGATAGGGCCAGAGCATGCTGACGCTAGTGGGACAATCAGTGGGATGACAGGGCTAGACACAAACACACTAACGGCTTTTTGTTTCCTTCCATCCTTCTCCTCTAGGATCTGGTCCCCTAGCAGTGTCCTGGAAACTGCACAGAAACCTTCAGCTTGTCCCTCCGCCCTTGGGACTTTCCTCCTAGACAGCAAGACGGACACACACAACAGAAAGCATGTTGAGTCTGAAGACAGGTGTCCCGGGCATCCCACCGAGCAAACCTACCATAGTTTTCCATCCTGATGAGAGAGGGTTCAGGAAGGGGGGCCAGAAGCAGAGAAAGGCAGCCCTCAGTCTATATGATGCCACCCACTCTTTTAGCAAGTCAGGTGTCTCGAAGAGGAGCCATCGGCCAGAGCTCCAGGTCCCAAAGGAGGAGCCTGAAGTGAGCCTTCCCTGCCCCATCAATAATGCAGGCAGCCCCGTGAAGGACACAGCCACAGCTGCTTCGGGGCAGAGCTTATCCTACACCCAGCCCATGCCCCAATATGGCCCAGGGCCTAATTGCAGGGCCCTAGGGGCGACCCGCAGATTAACTCAGCCCCATCCAGGCACACACAGATGCCTCTCTGCAAGGCCAAGGCCATGGCAGTGTATTCAGAAAACACTGGTTCCCCTCCGGTCATCACTCTGCCTTTCTTCTTCCCTCCACAGAACCGGTGCTGCCAGTGGCGATCCTGGGGCCAGGGGTGTAGATCTACGGCCAACCAGGGAAGCCTGTCCACAGGTCCACGTGATGCTCGCCACTGGCCTCCCAGAGATAACACAGTGGCAGAAGAAGTGCACAAACACAAGGTTTGAGTGGAGCCTACGGTCAAGCTGGGCAAGGCTAGTGCACTGAGTTGTGTCTCCCCTGAAAGATCTGGGCAAGACCTCACCCCCAAGACCTGTGAATGTGACCTTACTTAGAAAAAGGGTCTTCTGTGGATATGATCCCGAGAAGGATCATGGGATGATCACGGGACAAGATCATTCTGGATTTAGGGAGGGTCCTAAATCCAAGGACGGGTGTCCTTATAAGAGACAAGAGGGGAAAAGCCAAAGACGCAGAGACAGGGAGCACGGCCACATGAAGATGAAAGCAGAGACAGGAGCAGCATTGAAACAAGCCAAGACCACCAGGGGCCACCAGAAGCCCGAAAAGATAAGCAAAGATTCTTCCCTAGAGCCTCTTGAAGGAAGAGTGGCCCTGTGACACCTTAGTTTGAGCCTTCTGAACTCCAGAAGGGTAGAGTCACTTTCTGTGGTATGAAGCCTCCTTATTTGTCGTGATCTATCAAGGCAACCCTAGGAAACTAATTTGGCCCGTAACTTCTTCCCCAAGGTTCTGCTTTAACTTCTGCAAAATGGGGGTAATTGTGCTCGACCCTCTTCCTGCACAAAGTTATTATGAGGATTAGCGATAATACATGATAACATGCTTTGTGAATTGAAACGGACTATAAAGAGACCAGAAATTATTATTACAGTAATGCTATTATGAACATGACTGTTCAGGGACTTCTCTGAGAGCTGTGGAAAGCAGTCATGGCCAAGACTAGGAGAAAAGAAAGTGCCAGGATCAGCCCAAACCCACCCCCAATACCGAGTTAATATTTTACCAAGTCGATTAAATCTGCAAATTATACCAGAGGTAATTATCACTTTGCTTTAAGAAAACGAAATATTCCAATCTGTTTTAATCATGTCTGCTCTGTGCAGGATATTAAGAGAAGCCTGTTTGAGATACACTAATGGTCCCTAGGGTATTTCTGGAAGGGTTCTGTGCTGTGGGTTTATATCCTCTGGTGCCTCTTGCCTTTGCCTAAATTGCATCATGGGATTCAGAATCCAAGCTTCTTTTCTTTCTAATTCATTCTTTATCTCTAAGACAATCTCTTTGATTCCTGTTCTGATTTCTGGACAGACAGTTCCAGGCTTCATAAGGAAAAAAAAAAAAAAAAAACAAAACACCACCTTGATACAACCAGAAACTTCTGAGAGCAACTGTGCAATGCCAACTGAAATTTCTGCAAACCCATGCCACTGACACAGTGCTAAGTTCTCCAAAGGAGTCTTGAAAGATGCCTGCAGTTCTTTCAATAAGAACAACAGGTCAGGTGATCAGCCAAAACCATATCCTTCATCTGAGAAAAGTAAATGGGAAATGAGTAAGGGAAGCTTCCAGATCATGACCAGGGCTCTGAGATGCTAACTTGTCTGGGTCTCCATCTCCCCACCCCCAATCCGGTGATTCCACTCAGGAAGCCACATTCTTGAGAGTGGTTTCCAGAAGGAGACAGCAAGTATAGGGGAAGTTTACTGAATTGTTTAAGGGAAGAGCACTGGTCTTTGGAAACAGCAGACCTGGATGGTGGTAATGCTAATTACCATAATACTAATTCCCATTCCCATTGATAAGCTCTGTGATCCCGGACCAGTTGTTTAACTTGGCCAAGCCTGGATCCTTCATTTGTAAGACTGTTTATGATACCTCCCGTGGGGGTTGCTCCAAAGATGAGTCAGGACTTTGTTCATAATAGGTGCTCAATAGAGGGCTCTTCTGTCTCCTTCTCTACTATGGGAAAGGTCGTAGATACTCGGCCCTTCCAATGGAGAATGCCACCAGATCCGTTCTTATAGCAAGGACCTTCCAGTGGGGGGGCATCTGGTTGGGGTAGGCAGAGATCCTCAATGACAGAACAAAATGTGCCAAGAAGTCACTGAATGCCTTAGTTAGCTCCTTCTGTTCCCGCAAAAGGTGGCTCAAAGCCTCCCACTCTGGCTTTGGGATCTTCTGGCTATCATGGCACAGAAAGCCATCTCCCCCTGGCCTCTCTCCTCCAAGGCCAAGATTCTATCTTCCTGGAAATACCCAACCCATCCCCACACCCCAGCCCACAGGCTCCATTGGGTAGACCCTGGCAATCTACAAGGCTCATGCCAGATGGCACCATGTGGACTAATCAGGAAGTCGGACAAGAAAATACTACCCCCTCTTCCATTTGCCAGGAACTGGGATTGTTTGGATTTTAATCATAACCACAGTGAAAAGCCAACATGAGGACCCTCCAGCCAAAAGATAAATTTTCCACTCTCAACATTCAACTCTTCCTCATAAAATAGACCCCTACCAGGACAAGAGGGGGGCTTCTTTATTTTCCCACGTAATTTTTTTCTTATTTAACAATGTGACAGAAATAAAATACTCTGGGACATGGTGGCCCTCACACACTGGCTCACACTGGAGGGAACGTCTTCATTTGTCCATAAGTCACATCTACCTCACCGGTGTATTGATCCTGGGCAAAGATGAATGCAGAATCCCATGATCCTCTGGGATAAATCTGACATTTTCTTTAAATATATATCCACGGAACAACTGTTTCTGAAACTCCACGAAACAGGTCACCAGGGCAGCACACCATTGATTTCATATCCAATGATTTTTTAGAAGGAGCACTGAACGTTTTCTCAATAATTCAGCCAACTGCAGACCCCAGATGTCCCCCAGAGAGATGCTGTCCCTTGCCTCCTACAGAGGAAGGGGAAGGCATTCTGTGAGAAGTCACATGAGACTCCCAAGAAAGAGAGCCTCCAGCTAGCTCCTCTATGGCAGAGCCCTTGATCGGATCTAGGGCAACATAAGAAGGAATTGCAATCATGCAATTTTTGACAATTATTGCAGAACTGCTCCTTGAATTGGAAACAGATTTTGAGAGGCTAAGGGACAGCTAACGAGAGTGGTCAAGACCTTGAGTCCATATGCTACCCCTTGGCTAATGGGTAACCCGAAACAAGATACTTCACCTTGCTGAGTACCTCAGGGTCCCCGAATGTGAAGTGACGGTAATAATTCCTACCCGATAAATTACTACAAGGATTAAATTAAATAACGAATGTACATAATTTAAGAGATTGCTTGGCACAGTGCCTGGCACAGGAGTCAGATCTCGGAAATCGTTAGTAGTGATCTTAGCAGTCATGTTCATTTAATGCTAAGGTTTTCTTCCACCTACAAAGATGGGAATGAATACGATGCATCAAGTCAAACGGTCTGACATTTAGCTGTCTGTGACACCTGGGACATCATCTAGGTTTTTCAGTGTTATATAAACAAGTAAGTATATATTTACGTTTTCCTCAGCCCGGGTAGTTTTTAATCAGTGTACCGCAGGATCTCAGCCCTTTGTGACTAAAGGACTGTAATCACTATATCTCCTGGGGCCACACCAGAGGAGTAGCCCAGAGGGAACGGTAAAATCTAAGAAGGGAAGGCAACCCACAGCAGTACTGTCCTGAACTCTCCAGCACTGTTGAGATCACCTCTGTATTTCCCGGCCCTAGGATGGCCTTTCAAAGAATCAGGGCAATCAGGTCCATGAGGATAACTGGGGTATACAAAGCCATCATGGGGTAATGGGCTATTGAGTCACTGGATGTAAATATTCCCCTCCTCGACCAGCTGGATTGGAAAAGCTAAGATCCTGACTCATTCGTGAACTCAGGTCGTCCCAGGTGGAGGGATCCTCCAGTGGGGGATTGAAAAGCTGACAGCATTGGCAGAGATCCAAGGCTACCGACTCTTGGTAAAGCCTTGGATCTCAAGGCTTTATCAAGCCTTGAGTCACTAAGTCACTAAGTAAAAGGGAATACTAAGTCACTAAGTAAAAGGGAACACATGAGCAGTGTCTCTGGAACCCTAACTCCCTAATTTCATCCATGCCTCAATTCCTTTTCAATTCATTCCTTGATTTGTTCCCTCAACATAACATGCTGTCCTTCATGCACAGCGATGACCCTGATGACTCACACAACAACACGACTCGTTTTTTCCAGCAGTGGTCAGGAATTTTCACTCCTCCATCCAACAAGGATTTGCACAAAATGGCTGGAGGGGGTAGGGGTACATCAATCAGCCTGGGAAGGTAGTCAGGCCAAGCAGTCTACAGGCAGATGGAATAAATATATGGACTTGCCTCCCACCCCTCACCATCGGGATGCCCATATGCAAGCCAAACAGGCTGACTAAAGATGATGAGTGACGGAAAGGGCACGCAATCGGAAGTCAGAGGCCTGGGTTCAAGGCCTAGGTCGGCCAGTTCCTAACAACGCAATCTTGCCTGGGTCTCCTGTGCCTTTTGGGGGCTCAGCACCTTCACCTTAAAATGAAGAAATACATTTTATATTGGAGATATAATAACACCTATCTCCCATAATGCTCATGATGATAAATCTATTTTTTTCATGATGATAAAGCTAAAGTCACATCAATGAAAGCACACCTGAACATCCACAAAATCACATAGTATGAGTGTCACTTGTTATAAATTAAAAATACTCTCTATTATTATAAGTATAAAGGCTATTACTACTAGTTACCTACAGACCACAGAACTAGGTCCTGCTCAGAGATAAGATCCCGGTCTTCTTCGGAAATGTGTTGGAAAGAGCATCAGAAACCAAGCAACAAAGAGGGGGTCTCGCTCTCGCTGAACATGGTACACTCTGTGCCACCCAGCCCAAGGAGCCCCAAGGGCACACCCAACCTCGGGTGGTTCCACTGCCCCACATTTCTCCTCACCCAACCTCTACCACCGCTCTACTGCTTGGAGGGTCTTCAAAGCCAAACTTACAATTCCCGAAGACTCAGCGTCTGGAAGAGCTGCCATGAGAGTGTGGTGAGCCGGTTACTCGACAGGTTTCTGCAAGAGTGACAGATAAAGGGCAAATTAAGGGACAGACCCGGCTTGAGTAATGCTCTTGGTAGGAAACTTGGTTATTTCACAGGAGCCTGGTTTTGTTGTTCTTTTCTTTGTTCCATTCTGTTAACGGTGTATCCGCCAGTAGTCAAGGCCCCAGATCAAGTTTGGAGAGGATTTCGAGGAAAGGAAAGTGAGAGATTTACAATGTAAAAAAAAAAAAAAAGAAAGAAAGAAAGGAAAAGAAAAGAACTGTTGGTCATTTTCCCACATTCTCTCACCATAGTAAAGGTTCAGGGAAACTTCTGGAGGCCGCCCTCCCACAGGGGTAGAGAGCTCTTAGGATACACAAGCCAACAAGCTTTATTCTTCATTTTTATTATTGAAGTGTCACAGACATTTAAAAAACTGGGCATATTTAATGCATACATCTTGATTAATTTCAAGGCAAGTGTATACCCATGAAACTGTCACCATAAACAATGCCATAAACTTAACCATCAACTTTAAAAAATTTCCTCCCTCCCTCTCCCTCCCTCTTTCTTTCTTTTCTTTTTTTTTTTTTTTTGCTATAACCGTTAATATAAGATATAACCTCTTAACACATTTTTAGGTGTACACACCACCTAATTAATGACTCACGACGCTGTACGGTACATCTCCAGGACTTACTCGTCTTGCATAAATGAAACTACGTCCCCTGTTACCATCAAGAATTCTTAACATTCACAATAGTGGGAAACCCTGCAGGTCACCTACAATTTCTTCTACCCAGTCCCTCCCCCAGCAAAGAGGCCCATCCGTGATCAAGACATCAGCCTTTTGTTCACACTTCTGTTCTCCTCCTAATGGCTATTTAATTGTTCTCATTAGGATGTACAGAGGAAAGGAGTAGCCATTAGTCTTCCAAATAACAGAAGAAACACACCCACGGTGACCACGTTGCCAGGCTCAACAGACGACTCTTGACATGACAACAGCCCTTCAAGACGGCAGTTAGACATGGCTGGAGTCAACATGATCCCGCAGGAGCACTACTCCTGCACTGATGAGATGGGACGGTGGTAAGATGCCACTCAGGTCAACATTATCCACACCCACGTGCGTGCACACGGGTGCATGTGTGCAGTGGTGCCAATTAAACACGCAGGTGATGAACCCAAGTACAGACTCTTGTTCACACACGTGCGCATTACGCTCTCTGCATACCTCTACTTAGATGACTTCTACAGCAGACACTTGGGGAGGAACCAAATACAGACTCCTTGGGGGAACGAAGGGGGCACGAAGGAGAAGGTCCCTCTGAAACTTACGTTCAAGTTACAAATGAATAAGCAAGGCAACGGCAGTTTGCCAATGACAGAAGGAAGGGGACAAACCAAATGAGGCCATCATGGATGCCGGAGAGGGAGACAGCTCCTTCACACAGGCGCTTCGGGAGGTGCCCTTCAAGAGGGTAGCATCGAGCTGAGGCCAGAGCTAGAATGAACTGGTGCCAGGGCTGGGGTTTTCTGGGCAGTGGGAGCAAGAAGAGCAAAGGCAGAAAGGGGGCCGGTGGGAAAGGAGGTAGGGGAGAGTGGTCAGGGGTAAGGAGGAGAGGTGACAGCCACAACCACCTTGCCGGCCATGGTGAGAACCTTGGATTTTTATTTTAAGGAGCAAAGAGAAGGCACTGGATGGCTTTAAGTAGGGAAGGGACATAATCTAATTACCATTTCTTAAAGTAAGAGATCAAGCCTGGAAGCTGGCAGACGATTTTGATTAGGAGGCTGCGGTAGTGATGAGGAAGGGGATTAGAGATAACGAAGCAGGCGGATTCAAGGGGCGCGGGGGAGAGTACCACCAGAACCTCCTACTAGATTGGGCCTGGGAGAGAAGGGAGCAAGACGCTGCCATCAGGCCAGCAGCCAGATCATTTAGTGAGACCAGGAAGGCTGTAAAAGCGTGCTATCTGGGGTTCAGATCATGAGCCTCCCCTTGCAAATGCTAAGTCTGAGATGCCTGTGAAATATCCAGAAAGAGAAATCAGCTAGGCTGGTGGATACCTGGGTCTGGAGGTCACGGGGAAGTCCAGGCTGGTGGCATCACAGACGGCACGCACCGATTTCACAGGGACAGATGGCACACACAAGGACAACCTAAGGGACAGGGCTTCCCCTTCATATCTGAGGCAGCCCTACCCTTGGTGACAGCCGGTGACTGTGCTAGAAAGACAGCCCCCTTTCTGCGGGTACAGGGGACTGGTGGGCAAAGGAAGGGAACGACAGGAACAGATGCCCAGGCATCCTGTTCCACTCCCCCTGCACCCAGCACTCTCCATAGTGTCCTCCAGCCCGCACATCACTGTCTACGGTAGACAACTCCGGAGCCTGCTTCCTGCCGACGGAAGGAAGACCTCGAACTGCATATGAATCACCAAAGCTTATAAACTTTAACCTGTCCGAGCTTCCCAAAACCCCTAGCCCCAGTCCGTTGTAGGCCTGAAAACTGCCTCCATGTCCCAGTGATCAGAAGGATAGGGAGATAAAGGAAGGCCTGCATGGTGGCCACTTAAGGACACCAGTGGAGCACGGCTCCCCTGACCCACCTCCTGCTCAGGAGGGTGGAGTGGGGATCTGGTGCACATGCCCAGCGAGCGGCTGGCTTTACACTGGGTTTTGCACCTGGAGCTCAGACCTTGGGGTCAAGGATTCTGGGTCTCGGTACCGTGCTTGGGTCCCCATTACGCTTAGCCTCTGTGAGGTTCCAGCAAATGTGAGCGACTCACCCAGGTGGAAGCCTTCTGTCCTGCTCTCCCGGCTCACTATCTACCCACAACCGCAGCAGTGGCAGTCGACGTCAGACAGGGCCGCCAGCCGTGAGGTCTCCTCCTCACTCCAGCACCTCCTTCAACAGAACCCCCAGTTCTAAAACCGAGCAGCACCCCATGACAGTTAGCAGCCAGGAACCCCAGATTTGCCGAGCGCTCAGAAGCAGCCCCGTCTGTCTCTCCCCCTCCGCACCCCAGCAAGAAGCAGGGACTAATGCAGGTGTGAGGCAGGTGAAGCGGGGACCCTGCCCATCTCTGAGGGAAGACCAGCCTGGGAGCGTGTGCCGGGGGGTTCCTGGGGAGCCTGAGGGATCAGGCTACCAGCAACGTCCTTTCACAAAGGTCATGTTTTGCTACATTAGGCAGAAATGTCATGAGAAAATTGGATTCTAGAAGAAAGAAAATAACAGGCATTCTGGGCAAATAAAGACTAAGAAATAGTATTATCTCCTTATTACAAGCTGGAGAGGGGAGGGGGGACTGGGACATTCGGGAAGGGGGGGTAGACAGGGGAGGGGGGCCCCTGTTCTCCTGGGGTTGTCTTGGCTTCATCTCCTTCCTGCCACGCCCACCAAGCCCCACCCGGAAGAGAAAGGGCCCCTGGATTCCTCCAGCTCTTTGGCCAGATGGAGCAGCCGCTGCAGGACTTACGGGCTGTGTCTAGGACGACCAGCTCCCCTCCTCCCCAGCCACCTCCCTGGGATACAGACCATCTCCTCCCGTTGGAGGGAAAGCCTGCCCTTACCTCTTCTGCACACCAGCTACTCTCCTGTGCTCCCACCTCCCTGCCTCCCTTCACTACCACTAAAACCAACAGCCACCACTCACCAAGGGCTTCCTACTGAACACCAGGTACTGTGTTCAGCACTTTTACATTCGTGACCCTATTTAGTATATGCAACGGAACCGGGCGGGTGTTACTGACATCTCTGCGGTCGATCTGAACGGGTCTGAGTGGCCTTAATGCCAAGACTCGGTCAAGAAGCAACAAACCACACCCCCAGGAACGTGCGCAACCGATGCGCAGACATGTAAATTCCCAGGTACGTGCACACATGCACACACCCGTACGTCGGCGTACGTTGCCAGAGACGGGGGCACTGCGCTACACGAGTCCCTGGAGGAAGGCAGTGCACACAACCTGCACAACTGTACATGTACCCAGTACCCCGCCAGAGATGCGCGAGAGAAGCCCCCAGCCCCAGAGACAGTTATGTACACAGAGGACAAGCAAGGCAAACACAGAGCCACCCCAAGATAAGCAGGGCACACCTCTGGCCACCCGTCCCTCATGGGCATTTATAAATGCTCATGGTGCAGGAAAATGGGGACACTGAGACACGGGGCTTTGATTGACTGACGGCCCCCCTCAGAACTCACTACCCCTGATTTTCCTCCCAGCTAGTGCCTCAGCTGGATTCACCTGCCACCTGTAATTGATGGGCTGGTTACCCTGCTCATCAGACTCGAGGGTTAAGAACCATCCTGCCTCAGGCCCCACAGCAGCGTCTTCCAGAAGCCTCGTCCCTGACAGATCCATTATCCCCCCCTGACTTGTTCTTGGGTCAATGGCCAGGTTCCCAGCCACCTGACCACTGGAATTAATTTGGTGAGCAAGATTTTACGAGATGAGGCATCAAATACTTTCCCAAAATCAAGCTCTGTGACATTGCCCCCGTATCCCTCATCTGAGACTACCAAACAGCCATTAATTCTGTCGTGCACTGCTGGCTCTCTCACAGTCCAGACTCTGGGGCCCAGAGTAATGAACAATGAGGAAGCTCCTGGGTGCTCTGGGAACAGGGAGCCAGACACACAGATGGCCAAAATCAGACCCAGAGGAAACAGAGGGCTGAGATGGCCCTTTCTTCCATTAACCCCTTGGTGAACACGGGTCCTCCCAGGCTTAACACCTCAGCATGGCAAGCAGCCTCATGACTTTCCTAAAGGGGACAGCCGACTCCAGCAGGATAGAACCCATGATCTGGGAGGATATCGCCCTCCACCCTGGGAACCCTGCTGTCCAACCAGAGGTCACTCAAGATGGATCCTGTCACCAAGAAAAGGCAACCAGATGAATTCCTGTGTTGCCCCAAAGGTACCAAGTCTATGGGGGCTGAGACTTGAGGAGGGGACACTAAGCTCCATCCACAAGCGATCCTGAAGCTGGGAGACTTCGTAGAGTTCCTGGATG